ATCTTCCCATCCCGGTCCCCATCCCTGGCCTCCGGCAGGGTCAGCAGGGTGGGAGCCTAGCGACACCCATGCCTTGGCTCTGGCACCTTCCTGCTGGGAACTGGGCTCCACTGAGCTGGACCGGCTCAGGCAAATAGGGAAACTGAGGCCACTGCGATGCTTGCCCTTCTGTCTTGGCCTAAACGCCATTCCCGGTGAAAGGCAAGGCCGCTGAGCAGTGGCTAAACACCCCCCCACCCCCACCCCGCCGTCCCCAGCCGGAGCCTGCTGTGTGCAGGTGGAGGACGGGTCACGAAGCGGGGAAGGAGGCGCTCTTACCCTAAAGGATGCTGCAGGGGCGCTTCTGTGGCCGCGTGGGCTGGGGGCACAGGACGGCCCGGATCGCCTCATCGAAGACGGTTTTCAGGCCTCGCTGGGTGAGGGCTGAGCACTCCAGGTATTTGACCGAGTCTAGGGTGGGGTGGCAAGAGGGCAGGCCCAGGTCAGGGGCCGGCCCTGGGCAGAAACCTCTCCCAAGCCACACAACTGTGCCAGGCTGTGGGGGCCACCTGGGCTGTGCCACTCAGAGGAGAGTATCCACAACTCTGTGCCTCGGTTTCCCCATGTCTGAAATGGGGAGCTTGGTTTCCAAAAGAGAGGCTAAGACCCACAAGAGCAGGTCTGTATCTTCCTTAGACACGTAAGCCCTTAGGGAAGGCAGGCAGGAATTTTGACACATTCCTAAAGGAAACAAGGGCTCCAGCAACAGTGACTGAATCTCTCCACATCTCAGTTTCTCCGAAAAACTAGCCGCACACCTGCCTCCACGCTTCCCCCCCGGGAGGCCTGAGGCGCTCACAGCCCGGTCACCAGGACCTTCCAAGTGCCATCTGACCATTCCTTAACATCGTCCCATTTGACAGATTCGGAAACTGAGGCTCGTAGGTGCGAAATCATTTGTCCAAAGTCACATGCTGGGTGTTTGTCGTCCACCTTGGGGCGGCCGGGGACTGTCAGTGAGGGGAAAGGGAGTAGAGAGTTTTCCCTCCCTGTTGAGGGGACCAGCCTTCTCCCACCTGACCGCTCAGGGCAGGAGCCCGGGGCACAGACGGTCAGGCGGAGCCCTTACTCCCAGGGGCCGCGTTCATGCCCTTCTGGAAGGAACCTGCCTGAGTTCCCGCGTCTGCTACAACACAAATCGTTTACCTGAAGTAAGGAACCACAAAACCCCTTCTTTGAGAGGGCTGGGGCTGACCTCAGGAACCAGAGGAAAGGCAGGGGCAGGCAGGGGAACTTTGTCCCCCCACATTCTGCCCTTCTAGGAGGAAGGAAGCAGACCAAGGCTGATAGGTGCCCCTGCCAAGCACTGAGCTGGGGGCTTCCAAACACCCTGTGAAGAAATACTGTGATTCCCCACTTCCCAGATGAGGAAACTGGCCCAGAGAGGGGAAGCCTGGGGCCCAGAGACACACAGCTGGGGAGAGGGGAGCCAGGACCTCAAGAGGGACTGCCCCTGGAAGGAGGAAGCCCACAGATGCCCTGGGGTTGGGAAGAAAGAAAGGGCAGTGACAAGGAAACCAAGGTTCAGAGAGTATGTCACTTGCACAAAGTCACATGCTGGCTGTGTCCCCTGCACTCGGGAGCATATTCCCAGCAGGGAGCGCACAGAGTGGTCCCAGGGCCTGGCTGGCAGAGGCCAGACTCCCTTGGTTCAGGTTCAGGTTCCGGAGCGTCATCATCTTATAACCCTTTTGTGCCTAGAAGGGTGTCGCCGGGCATTGGCCACTGTCTCCCTGCGAGGGACCACAGCCAGCGTCGACTTCTTCCGCACCCACCAACTGCCTCCTCCCTGGCACCTGCCACCCCCTTGCTTCCTCTCAGCTCAGTGGC